ATGTATGTATTTAATGTGTTTGGATTTGTACCCATAGTACACCATAGAGGTTTTAAGGTCTTTATATTAAAGCAAATTGCTCTAATGTTGCTGACAGTTTTGAACCAGCTGGAGAAACACAAGCTTACACTGTATGTCAGAGTTGATAATAAACTGTCCCAGGCATTATAATAAATATTAAAGTCTAATTTAACTTTATTCCACTAAAAGCTGTTGCCTTATGCTCTGCATTTATGTTTTATCCTGCCATCACTTCTGATTAAAGTTTTGTCTGTTATTTCAGTGCTTATTTCTACTGCCCAGAGCACAGCAGACCAACATAATCCTCCGGGGCTGTTAGAGACCTAAACAAAACACATCTTTTTCCTCTCTGTAATCGTCTTCAAAGTTAAACTCTTCTTTACACTCACAAATTTAGGTTGTGTTCAGATTATAAGAAAAACAAATAGCTGTTGAGCAAACCCTGGTGCATTGATATTGTTGCTGTTAATGTTGACTGACATGCACGATCCCCTATGAATACATAAACACTAAGTATGAAAATCACCAGTATGGTATATTATAGTGTTAGACAAGTTGTTTAACAAGCTTTAGATGATTAAAAAAAGTCACCTAAAGACAATGCTGCCACTGTCAGTCATCATGCATATATAAAGACCAACATCCAGAAAAAACTTCAATAGAATAACCGACAATGTCTGTTATTCCATAAATTTTAGGTCTTGATTGATCGACCACCCTCCCTATGATCACTGGAATAACACTACATGGTCTAATTCACTTCATAAAATTCAGTTTCCTAGGTATAAGATGATTTAGTGAGTGTCTCCATTTGAATGAATGATCTTTATCCATTTAAATGGAATTAGTTCATTTGGATGGAAGCTGTTATTACGATGGGTCTGCAATTTTTCATTTTCTCAGTCTTTGATGTCACTGTCTCATCATCACCCTTTATTTCAAATACTGACACACACATGCACAGAAGTAAACACAGACTCGTCAGACTTCCCAATCCAAACAGTACGAAAGCCAAGTGAACGCGATTCTTCCAACGGTGCAGCTCAGAACGAACCGATGTAATCACTGCAGCTGAATGACTGCAAGGACTGCATGATTACCTTTCAGATTCATGCTGCCTCTATTCATTACATGAGGATTTAGAAAGGGATAATAGTACTTTCCCTCTGGGACTGTGTGATTGGGAGTGTGTGTGCATGTGGATACATGTGATTTGGAAAGCATTTGTGTCCTTTTGGCCTTGGATGCCCTACTGCTGCTGTGCATGTCTGTCTGGTGTAGGGTAAGACCTCCATGTGGACAATTTACATTGAATCGCAATTACTGAAAAAGGGAATCTCAGAGGCATAACAAAACCTTAGCAAGTAAAACCTGGTGTATAACCACCAATTTTAAGTGAGAAGATGTGTTCTTAAACACATTTTAACTAAAATCGTTTAAAACTACCATGCAACATGTGTTCATTCTCTGCATATTAGATTTGTAGTGATTAACCTGTTGGCAAAGTAGTAATACGTCTACCAGTTAAGTGCCTTCCTTTCCAAATGAGACTTTAGTGTTTAACTATTCAACTAAACCAGATATCACTGTGACATCTGTCCTCAGTAAAACACATTGACACTGTTCATGATAATAAACTCACCACACATAACTTTAAAAAGATCAGGTGAAACACACACAACAGAGTCGCTTTAACATAGAATTTATCTGAGCCAAAGTCAGGCTCAGACACTCTGCCTGTAGAGCTGCACAGCTGAAATTACTATCATTAAATAAACATATTACAAAAACACACACATTGCGACACTGTTTAGATTGCAGCTAGCCCACACACACACACACAGTCAGCTGTGTGGAGCTTTAGCCAATGAGATTTTTTAATGGAGCAGGAAACGAACACATTGTGAGTCAGCTGAACATCAAACACTTTGCATGTGTGTGAATACATAAAGCCATCAAACCCTTGTGCACTTGAGTAGGTGCGATGTTTTCTGTTGCAATAAAGAGGCCACAGTCAAAGAAATAAGGACTTGCCGTTACTCAAGTTACCTAGAAGTATGTGCTTTTAATGGTTGTGTGTGTTTGTGTTACCTGGAACAACAAATTCTCTCCACATGGCTGTATATCTGTCTATCGTGATATTCAAACTGCCCACCGTGTTAAGTGAG